GGGGCGGTGGCAGAGGCGGCAGAAGCAGGGGCAGTGGTAGAAGCGGGGGCAGTGGCAGAGGTAGGGGTAGTGGCAGAGGTGGCGGCAGAAGCAGGGACCGTGGTAGAAGCGGCGGCGGCGGCGGCGACAGAAGCAGGGGTAGTGGCAGAAGCGGTGGCGTTGCTCCAACAGCTCCCCTCGCTCCAGTCTTGGCTCTCCAGCCCAGACAGACATTGCTCCTCCCAGCCCCGGCAGAGCGGACCCTGGGCTCCCGGAGCCCAGGTGACGCCGAGGTCCACCGCACACACACCGAGGGGGTGGAAAAGAGAACAAATCCAGAACTCTGACGGTGGGAGGCAAGCTTAGCAAAAAGAAGAAGGGGGTGCGATGTAAATGATAGGAAGCCAAGGATAAAGCCGAGGAGGCGGGGGCAGCTAGGTGGCGCAGTGGTTAGAGCATCTGCCCTGGAACCCAGAGGACCTGCGTTCAAATCAGACCTCTGACACTTACTAGCTGGGTGACCCTAGGCAAGTCACGTCACTTAACTCCATTGCCTAGCAAAAGAAAAAAAGACAAGAAGGCTGAAGGAGCTGGTGCCGAGGAAGAAGAAACTCCCGAGGAGAATGATGGGACCCAGTCAGTGGCAGAGACCGCAGATGTGAAGGAAGACAGCAAAGAGGAGAAGACCAAGAAAGATTCCAAGGTCGCAGAAGGAAGCAGAGAAGAATGCAGTGGCTGGCCAGGAAGAGGCTCGAAATCAGAGCCTGAGAACCCGGAGTCTGTCCCTGATGGAAAGGTAGAGACACAGAAGGATACTGAGCTGGAGCAGACTCCTGCCTCTGCCCCAGCAGCCGGCAGTGCTGCTTCTAAGACTTTTCAGTGCCTAGCACTGAGGCAAAAAGGTCTCCCAGTCTTCAGAAGCCACAGCAACTAGTAAAGGAGATGACAGAAAGACAGAGGCTTCCGTGGCTCCTGTCACTCAAGAACTGAAAGTGAAGGGGCTGCGTCTTCAGACTCAAAACCCAGCGGCAGCGAAGCTGTGCCTTCTTCCAAGGAGACCTCAGCAGCGGGAGCCCCGCCAGCTCCACACCTGAGGCTCAGGGACCTGCAACCCCGGCAAAAGAGGTGAAACCTGCTGAGGCTCCCACCGCTAATTGGGAGCAAACTATAACAGTGAAAGAGCAAGGTGGACAGCCTATTGAAAAAAAATAATCACTTAAAAACAACCAATCTCTCACCCCACCTCCCCAGCTGTACTAACTTATTTCAAATCTGAAATAACGATATGTATTGCCCCCCAAAAGGATATCTCATCGAGGGAGGGAGAAGGTGGGGGAGAAAATCCAAATAGTATTTTTGTGGGGAAATATCTAATATACCTTCAGTCAATTTTACAAATAAGTCCTGGATTTTAAAGATGGATGTCTGAAAGTACAGTACATCTTTTGTACCTGAACTGTTGTTAGATGTACTCCCCCTATGTATCAAAATCTCTTTTCTTCTGTAATAGGGTTTGGGCGTGATGATAATATGATAATATGATGATATAATATGATAATATGAATGATAATACTTTGAAAGATCTTTAATTTCTTAAGTCTACCAATGAGGATGGACAGATTTAATAAAAAAAAGTCAGTTTTTTCACTCATTGAATAGGATGCCTCAGTTACTTCATTACTGTCAGTTAAATATGAAAACTGAGGCCAACAAGGAACAAGAGAAACCTTCCTAATAAGAGAAAATGTGTATGATATTATTTTTATGATCTCTAGAGTGAAATGCCATTTTTACTTTAATTTTGAATAAATTAAGGTGGCTAGATGGTATAATGGATAGAGTGCTGGACTTGTAGTCAGGAAGACTAAGTCCATGTTTCCCCTCAGTCTCAGATACTTGCTAGCTGTTTGACCCTGGGCAAGTCACTTAACTTTGTGTGTCACAATCTTTGTGACTCAGTTTTTTTCACTTGCAAATTGAGAGAATTGAACTCTGTGGTCTCTGAGGTCCCTTCTAGCTCTAAATCTGTGATCCTGTAATTCTGCAGTAAAACTTCCTTAATTTGTATTGCATTAATTCTAGGACACCTTGGATAATCACTTAACTTCTATAGGCCTCAGCTTTCTAATCTGTAAAACTGTAAAGTTGAAAAAAAATTACTTCTACTCAAATGATTGCTGATAACTAGATTTCAATTGTTAATTTACAATTTGTCCATGAAGGGAAAAGTTTATTAAGCAAATTCACAGTATTAGATAGATGTCTGCTTTATGCTGAAAACATTGTTTGCAAGTAAATGCTATCTATTTGAATATGAAATCTGTGCTAATGTATTGCCCTCTTATCTATTTGAATTACACATGTTCTGTTTTGTTTTGAAGGCCAATGGTATTGCTGCTAATAATTCAGAAAGAAAGAGGATAGTTAAGTAGGATTGCCCCAAGAATGAGCTCAGAATGTACAAAAAGCTTCCTGAAAGAGATAGGGAAGTGACAAGTTGGGTCCATGGGTCCATAGGTCTGGAGTTTCCTGCTGCTTGCCCTTAAGACAGAGACACTCTGGTTGTCCTCTTGGGAATGGGGAGAAGAGTACCACTATGATTGTACCGAGGCTTTCTGTTCAACGTGTAGAAGAATGGCAATTAACTTTCAGATTATAAAATGCTAGGAGGTAGTTCCTGGATATTGCAAGCTGAGACTCTATCTGAGGTGACTGGGATCAGAGGAGGAGGAGGAGCTAAGAACAATGGAGAGACAACCCAGGCTCTAGAGCTGAGGTGGAACTAGGAACCTAAGGAGAAGGGCCTGAATACTCAAGACTGTGAGCTCTTGTGAATCCTAAGTGCTTGGTGACTAGGGCTGGTAGACTGAGAATGATCTTGATGAAGGTGTGGGTAGCCTCTCATGTATCCTACATGCATCCCTTGCTTTACTTTATTTATATATAGCTTGGAGTAGGGTTCTCAGACACATAGTCCTCTTTCCTCAATATAGGGTAAAATGAGGTTTAGGAATTCCCTGGCCATAGCTCCCAAAACTAGAATAAGCAAGAGGAATTTGGGAAGATGATTAGAGGCAGAAGTCTGCAGGAGAGCTTAATATTTTTCCTTTCATTTTCCCTATATTCAATATACTATGTGACCACAGTATGCTGAGTACCTATGTCCTGTGGCTGTAGGGGTCATTAAAAAAGAGAGCATATTAGAGAAGTGGATATTCCTTATCGTTTCCTAGCTAAATTTTACACCTAGCCAGTCCTACCACTCAAAGCTGTTGTGACTGACTTATGGAGATGAGGGTGAGGGTAGGGAGAAAATGGTACAGGTGTTTGCAGGCTGAGTGTCCTTTGGTGACCAATGTTGAGACTGCAGGCTTCCCAATATAAGTTCCAGGTAGGAACTGAGTTGGCTGCTCAATGGGTGGCTCAGGAAGAGCATTATCTAATGCGTAGCTCAGATATTACAGCCCCTTGACACTGATTTGTAATGGCACATGAACCAGTTGGGGTTGCTTACCTGCGGTGCCCTGAATATCATATGGTGTATTCACAAAGTATCACACTTATAACTGGCCTAAGACCTTTTTATAAATAGTATCTCATTTAATCCTTACAATAACCCTTGAAAGTAGTTGTTCCTGTTTTACAGATGAAGAGATTGAGATAAACAGAGGTTAAGTGACTTAACCTACGATCACACAACTAGTAGGTGTCTGATGCCAGATTTGAATTCATGTTTTCCTGATTCCAGGCCTGGCACTCCATCCATTGCACTACCTACTTGTTTATGGATACATAGGCCATAAAGTGTCGTACATCTAAATTATTTGAATCCCCTTTTCCTAAAAACAGAAGAAAGGAGCTGCTTTTTTAAAAATGGTATTCCATTAAGTATATGAAATATAATCTTAGTAAATGACCACTAAATGGCACACCAAATTAATATTGTTGAATTTGTTCTATGAATTTTTTTTAAGAGTATACTCATTTAATACTGGGAATGTGCTTTTCTTTTTTTTTTTTCCTTTTTTTCTTTTTGTTAGGCAGTGGGGTTAAGTGACTTGCCCAGGGTCACACAGCTAGTAAGTATCAAGTGTCTGAGGCTGGATTTGAACTCAGGTCCTCCTGACTCCAGGGCAGGTGCTCTATCCACTGCCCTAGCTAGCTGCCCCTGTGCTTTCTTTTCTTATATCCTGTGGATCCTGAAACTCAAAAAATAATGATGTATTTAAAGTATATGAAACTAAGGCCTCTTGTTGTCATAATGCTCATTCAAAGGGAACCAAATCTTTACATTTGCTAAACCTGGTGTTCTACAGAAAAACTATTTAGAAATAACTTGAATTTTTTTTTCTGGAGGGAGTTTGTTTTCTGTGGTTCTCACACTATTTTCTATTTATTCCATCCTTTAGAATTATTTATGTCAGACTATTGTGAATAATATTAAGAATGTAAGAAGATATGTATTCATTAATCCATTTAGTAGGAGTCTCAATTATAAACCTTACTTCTTTTATATATTTCTAAGTTTAATAGTGATATCTTTGATTGAAAAATCGGAACAAATAGATGTCTGATAAACTTTCAATTTTGTAATTTTAAGTTGTCAATTTCAGGAATACTTTTTTCACCAAGATAA